GAGGGGAATTCAAAGAATGCATTGCCTCCAGCCCAGTCTCATGTTTCCCCTCCACCTGCAGGTATTTTGCTGAACAGGATGCCACAGCAGCTCAGCAGGTTCTCTCCGACTCTCTTCATCCAAAATGCAGGTAACTGTTGAAAATAAAAGATGGATTAGGCTTTATGGATTAGTAAAGATAATTTGATGGTGCTGAATAGGAGGGTTTATACTTCAGACACTCACTCCAGGATTTAGAGTGTGGTTGGTGTCATTCAAGTGAGATGTATAGTTAGAGGTTCATCATGTCTAGAAAGATTGAGAGGTTATGTGTGGAAGAAAAAATTCAGAGACAAACGAGTGTGGGGTGGGCATGGAGGGAGAGTAGAAGTCATGATGTCAAGGTCGTATGTGCATTTTCAATTACTTTGCTTCTTTTTCTTTAACTGAATACACAAAGGGACATCACTAAAGAGGAAATAAGGTATTTCTCTTTGCTTTTGTGCCTTTTTGTTTTCACTCTATTTTAGAATGAATAAAGATAAGACTTCTAAAAAGAAATAGATTTGTGAAAAATATTTTTTTTATTTTTTATTGAGCTTTTGTTAGATCCCCACCCCCATCCATGCCCTCCTGCTCCCCCACCAGACCTCATGTATCCTGCCATACATGTTAAGTCCTATCCAATCAAGCTTTTGTACCCAGATGTCCTTCAGTGTAAATTTGTCCACTGGAGTTTAGTCAGTTCATCTAGAGATTGTATGTAAGGCATACGCTCCCTTACCCAGTAGCAATCAGTCTTCAATAGTTCTCAGTCTAGGGCCACCTATTTCTCTCCTCCCCTCTGGGCCCTTGTTTAATTGAGTTGGCATGGGTCCTGTGCTCAATGCCACCATTGCCACAAGTTCACATGTGACTTGAAAACTTTCTGTTTCCCTGTGTTCATGAACCAGCCCTGGCTCTTACAATCTTTCTGCCCAGTCTTCCTCAATGGTCCCTCAGCCATGGGTTGGTGAGGTTCAGTATAGGAATCCTGTCCTGCACTCTACAGTCTCTTATTCTTTAAAACGTGGCCAGTTGTGGCCCTCTGTGTGCATCATACTCTGTTGAATAAAGAAGCTTTACTGGTAAGAGTTGAGGGATGTATTAGTTTTCTCTCTACCCTTTGTTCCACTGTGTTCCATGAGCCTTGTGTGTAAAGGAAGAAATAGATTTGTGAAAAAATTTTAAAACCAAACATTCACCAACTTTTAATCTAATGTAGTTATTTGAGAGATGTATTTTAATGAGCTAAAAATCAAATCGATCTAATCTGATGGAAGAGTCAAGAGGTCTTTCTGTGGCTGGGACTATGCAGAGTTTGAGGGATGTTTTAGACCCCTCCCCTAAGAATCAGATCTTCAAGAAGGATAAGTTAATAATGTGTTTCTGATCTGTTATCAGTCGTAGTTCATGCCTGTGAGCATCTCTTTACATAAGAAGTCTCACTATTTTCAATCATTATTTCCTAAGATATTTTTTCTCTTCCACCTGATGGCAGTTAGTCAGTAGTTAAACAAACCTAAACTTCTATGTAACAGTCTCAACATTCAGGACTTAGTTGATGGGTTTATCACCCTTACCTTACTGTTACCCCCCTTTTAACTCCATTTGATACACTGCATGATCAAACTCAAGCTATTTTAATTTTTAAACTACTTCTGGATTGTACATTTCTGGAATGTGGAGGCTCAGAACTACCTCTAACTAAATTTGACTGAGAGTCTACATGTACTCCCAGGAGGTGTTTCCTGCATCGGCATCAGCCAGAAGACATGGGTCCTCTGTGATCCTGGTAAAGTAGCAATAAGCTTAATTTTTTTATTAACTACTGATGGGAAATTTTGTCAGTGAGCCATTCTGAAAAAAAAAAAAAGGAGGGAGAGGACTTCATTTGTCAGCCATCAGAAAGGATTGTTGCTCGAAGTTTTATAGACTGCACTTAAGAGACCAGCATTGTGTGTGTGTGTGTGTGTGTGTATGTGTGTGTGTGTGACACACCCTAGATTTTATCCCTCAGGCTACAATACCATTGAGGAGGTAAAGCTCATGTATTAGTTGTTTCAAAATGATTGTAAAGGTCACTGAATGAGAATCAGAATATTTTGAAAATGCTATTCTACTTCACTGATTGTCTGAAAGAAAAAAATTGACCAATTACCATCAACATAACTTCTGTCAGACCCTGAGTATTTGAGGTATTCAAGCATATCTCATGCTGTATGTATACATATATATGTATATGTACTTAGCATGCACACACACACACACACACACACACACACACACACACTGCAAACTTTCCCTTCTGTCCTTCAGCAAGCAGGATGCATAACTGCCCTTGTGATTATCTATATAGTTCTGAAGTATCCTGACGGATAAAGGTAGATTCTGTTCCAAGAGGAGAATTTCACTTTGTTTATTTTGGGACTACTATATATTATAAATAATCAAATGAGGGGCAGTCACTGGTCTTTCCTTATATTTCAAACACTGAGGAAGATTTCACTTAACAAATATAGGCACAGTATGTACTTTCAAAGCTTTGTTGAAGAGACAATGGATGCCTACAATTTTTTTTAACTTCACATGTAATTCATTTCAGCTTGAAGATGAATCTTTTAAAGGCAAAAATCTGATGCCTCTTTAGTTTGATTTCTTGATTGGAAATCACACTTTGAAAATAGGTGGAATATTTTAACATGAATTTCCAGCAGTGACTTTGAATCAGCCAGTCACTCACAGAGCAAGAAGCACGTGCAGTTAAAGATCGTTCTGCACAGTGCTTCTGCAGGTGTGTGCGGATGTATTGGCGAGTGCTGTGATGTATCATTTGCCATGTGCAAATCTCCTTTTCCTGCCTACATAGAAACTATTCATAGCTCTGATTTTAAAATTGTATTTAGCTCCAATGTTAACTACAGATTTTAGCACAAAACATTGAATAAAGATTATATCGTTCACAAAGGGTGGAGCCTTTTTCCTGCTGTGAGAAAGGGAATAAGTGGGTACAAGCACACCAGGGAGACATTAGGCAGGGTTTTCAGAATGCATCTATGACAGACTCCCTTCTTTGTTCTGATTCAGAATCTTAAATTACAAAACAGATTAAAATTATAAACCAGAGCTTTTGTGACCTGGATGTCATGAAATGCCATCATATTTGTTGGAACAGAATTTTTAAAACCTGTGAATCCTTCCTTCCTACCTTCCTTCTTTTGACCCTTTTTCTTTCGTCTTTATTCCTTTCTTTCTCCTTCATTTCTTTATACTGAATCATTTATTTATCCACTGATGGTGGACAGGCCATGATAGCATCAAAGAACAACTTAATGTTCAAATTCAGGGATGTCTGCCACTGATTTTCTAGCGTGACCAGGGCAAACAGAATGCCCTTAAATACACCCATGTCTGAACTCTATATAACTTGTACTGCTGTGTTTGAGGGGAGTTTGCTCATTTGCTTGTTTCTTTGTTTGTGAGACATGGTCTTACTATGTAGTCCAGGCTGCCCTGGAACTCAAAATCCTCTTTCCTCAGCTTACATTAAAACTGTCAACTATATGTACATTATCTAACACATCAGTTTGAATATAGCAACTCTAAAAACAATAACACATGCTGGGATTTCTGTGGTTACAGGTGTACATCACCTGTGTTGTATTATTGCTTTTGGAGTTGATATATTCAGGGATTAGTATTAGATGGTGGAGATGAATAGACCTCTACATATAGTTAACAGATTTAATATAAGCATTGAAAGAGAGCAAGAGATAATGAAAGATTAAGTGGTATTTCATTCATTCTTTCAGCAAATTCAGCAAAGCCGAATGGGAGAAGAAAAGGGTGGATAAGGCAATTGGGTGAGTGTGAGATCTCATGCCTAAAGGTTGTCGGCACAGCCCAGAGTCAGCAAAAGTGGCCTGACGCTACAGTGAACATTGACAAATGAAATTCCACAAGACCTGGTGGGCATGTGATCCAGATGAACTTTTTAAAGACCATTTATAGCAGGTGGTACACTAACTCCTGCACAGCTCACTCCCTCACAGTATACTCAATAAACTGTTCCTTCTAAAGTAAATAGCATTTTTTTATGTTTTTGGATTTAATTTATGACTGTAAGATGCCACTTTATAACCAACCAACAAGACCTATGAAGTTGTAACCCAGCTAAAGTGACTTTCACTAATCATTCCTTAAAATTGGATTTGGCAGTTTTCTGTTAAAGATTTCTACTACATATTAAACTATAAGATAAAATTTTACTTCAGATGCCTTTTATAAAAGGACTGTTCGGGGGTCAGTGACATGGCTTAATAAATAAAGGCACTTGCTGCCCAGCCTCATGACCTGAGTTCAATCCCCAGAACCTACATGATAGAAGGCAAGAAGCACCTCCTTCAAATTACCCTCTGAACTCCACACACACTAAATAAATAAATGCAGAAATGTTTCATTCAAAAATATTTCTATGGGATTCGTAGTAACAGAGTTTAAGAGATCAGTTTCCCTTCATGTAGAAAAGGGACTAGAAAATATACTTTGTGCTAATTACTTAACTCTTTCTCACATAAAAATTTAACATAAAGGTACACACCTTTAATTCTAGCACTTAGGAGGCAGAAGCAGACAGATCTCTGTGAGATCAAGGCCAACCTAGTCTACATAGCAAGTTCCAGGCCAGCTGGGACTATAGGGAGATGCTTTCTCAAAAAAATTAATATATGATTATTTATAGAAAATTTAGAAAAGCATAGGAAAGTAAACCAAGACACATCCCAAGCTTACTACTTCTGTACGCCCTTAGTAATGTCAGAGCCTTTTATTCCAGCTGTTTTTCCATGTACATATGTGTGCATAAAATAAAACATGGCTTTGCACAGGTGCATCTACCTACATGCAAGCAATACATGCGTACACAAAATAAAAATAATAAATATTTAGTTTAAAAAATGGCTTCTACCAGTGTATCCTGTCTTTAAGAATGCAGTATTAGCTAACTGTAAAATGTTATATGAGATTACCATAATTAATTTCTCTAGGAATCGTTTTTAGGATATTGGAGAGTTTCCGTGTCTTGCCATGATAAATAATGCTGTAATGAGTGTCCGTATGTAGAAAAGCTTTGCCCACTTTGTATACTGATCAATGGAGTTGGAAAGTCAAAACATGTGAACTCTCGATTTTCTTGGCACATGCTAGTGGAAGCTTGTAGCAGATTTTGAAGGACAAGATTTTGTTATGGTAGATGGAAAGGGAACTTGCCACTCCGGTAACTTAAGAGGAATTGAAAAGTCAGGTTATCTGTTTCTGAGTGCTTAGCTCCTCTCTGCCGCACTGATGATTTTGTGGTTCTAACCGCAGGTACTCTTTTGCCATTGTGGGCATCAACATCACCGATCTGGCATATAATCTGCTGATCAGCGGAGCTCTGAAAACCCATTTCTACAACATCGCCCCAGAAGCTCCAACACTGTCTCACTTCCAGCAAACGTTCTGTAAGTGTCCCTTGTTTAGCTGACAGCGTGGATTCTATTTGACTCCAGATGAGGGTCAAAGCAGAGAGGTCATTGTCGCTGGGCTGACTTATACCCTTTGAAAAAGTTCCTTAGTTTCTCACTTAAATCCCTGTACTCACATTTGCAAGCATCGTGGATTTTTCTCTTTTCCAACTTTTGCATCATATGAAAGAAACATAAAGAAGTCATGAGGTCTCTCTCCCTCTGATCTAGCATGGCTGAAAACCAATGAGTGAGGTCCTAAAGGCAGCCCAAGCTGACTGTCAGGTCTATATTTTGACAGAAATGAAATCTCCAAGATTAGGAAACAAGACTGAAAATCCTGTCTAAAAAGTAGATCAAAAAAGACATTGATGAAAATTAAAAGACAACAGTTGAAACATCAAAGGACCATCCTAGGAAGTCTTGTATCTGAAGAATGGGAATATCACAGAAAGTGAAAACTAAGGAAAAGCAGCCAAAGACATAAATCAAGAAAAAAATTGGGCAGGCAAAATAGCTCAGCAAGTAAAGTACTTCCTGCCAAGCCTGATGACCTGAGTTCTAGCCCCAGGGCCCACATGGTAGATTAGAACTAAATCCTACATGTTGTTCTCTGACCCCCACACTCACACTCTGGCACACACCCATGTACTTAGACACATACAAAATAAATAAATGTAATAATAATTTTTAAAAATTTAGACTGAAGGATTAATTTTCTTATTTTATTTTATTATTTTATTTTATTTGGTCTTTTTGAGACAGGGTCTCCTTGTAGCCCCAGCTGGCCTGAACTCACTATGTAGACCAGGCTGGCCTTGAACTCACAGAAATCTGCCTGCCTCTGCCTCCCAAGTGCTGGGATTAAAGGCATGTGCCACCACCCCAGCTGAATTTTCTTATTTTAGGTAGTAAGTACCAACATAATAGATTAGCGTAGTCACAAATCAAAGTCCATATTGTGAGCTTTCATGACACTAGAAAGATATGATCCTGAAAATTTCCAAAACTTTGCACTCAAGATGACATGGGACTTCTCAAGAGTAGCATTCTATTCTAGAAGGCAATGAAAAATGCCTACAAATTTTTAAGCCAATGTAAAGGCAGTGTTGTTTACAATTCCAAATTCTATTCCCTGTCTCACTCACCAATTAAATACTGAAATAGGGCAAACTTTTTTAAAATGCAATTCTCAAGTATTTTACTTCCCTCTGCCTTTTTATCATGAAATTCCTGAAAGAGACTATGTTTCCACAAAATAAGAGGGCAATCCTGAAAATGGATCCAGAAAGCAGGAGATTTGTCCCGGGAGGGAAATGAAGGAAATCTTCCAGAGGGAGGTAAAGGGAAAGCCCGAGATGGCTCCCATGCTATAGGCTGAGAGGAATAGAACAGGCCTTGATTCTAACACAGGTCTGAGGAACTCTGGAAAATGAGTGACTATCTACCATGTTTGAACACATCAAGAGTGAGCTGGCACACTCAGGGAATGGTTTATGTCAAATCAAGTGGAAAACTAAGTAAATAAACAAAGAAGGCAGTTAATACTAGGTTAAGAAAAGTGTAAGAAAATAAGTGACTGTGGCTGGGTTGGTCAAAGGCAGTCTTAAAAAGTCAAGAAATGGGATGCATGAGGTTTAGAGCTATAGAGTTCTACAGTCGAAATTATCAGCTAAGACAATTGTAGTACAGAGTTAGGATAGGAGGAGCTCCAAGCTTTCATTGTGCTTTGTTTTCCTATCAAAAATTATTGAATATTTGACCTGAGTGATTCAAGTATAACGTGAAAATGAAATTTAAAGCGGTATGTACTTTATAACGTGTTAGTAGAAAATAAGTTTCTTACATAATGTATTATAATCCCTATTTTGATAACTGAGTGTTTACATTTTATTCCTATAACAACTTGACTATCTCCAACAAATATTATTGGCATTATACTGTACATCAGGTTCTGTAATGAGGAAGACTGGCAACCAAACAGCTAATTACAACATAGTGGGCAGGATTTTGTGACTGAGGAAGTAAAGACACTTTTTTTATTTTTTTTGTCTTTTTGAAGCAGGGTCTCTCTGTAGCCCCAGCCGTCCTGAAACTCACTATGTAGATCAGGCTGGCCTTGAACTCACAGAGATCCGCCTGCCTCTGCCTCCCAAGTGCTGGAACTATAGGCATGCACCACCACGCCCGGCTAGGACACTTTTTTTAAACACTGCAAAGGTCTGTGGCTGTCATCACTCAATCTGGGAGTCAGGGAGAAATAGGACATATGTAAAAAGTGGCAACTGCCACTTTCCGTAAGTGGAAGAAGATAACGTGATTGTTGCAGAGTGGTCCAGCCAAGGAAGGAACAAGGGCACAGGCCATAAAACGGGGGTGGGGGGGTTTCAGTGGATCCAAGCAATAGGGCAGAGGTCATGAGAGAGTGTGGTTAGATATGATGCTGGCAATGTAAGAATGGAATTCTGGGTAGATCCTGAAGAGCTTACCTTAGCTATTAATATATGAAATCGCTTGCACTGTTTCCTTAGCCCTCTATAAGTTGCCTTGTTCTGTATTTACCATCTTTGTAAATCAGGGAAGGAGTTGTGGGGAAAATAGAATGAGCTTTGTTTGAGGTAACCTGAAGGTAAATCCTTTTGGGAAATCCACATGGAGCTAGAAAATGGACATCCCAAGGTGAGGCGCTGGAGCTCTGAAGGGTTAGAAGCACCCTCAGCACACAGACTTTTAATTCATCAGCATTGAGGAGAAAATCAGAGCCATACAGGAGGGAACATCTCCAGGGAAAGAATCAAAATTAAGAATCAGAGAGAATTGGCATTGAAGGCCAGAAATAACTGTTTTTGTTAGTAGAGAGAAAGTGCTCAGTAACTATATATTGGATAGGTGGATGGAGGGATGGATGGATGGATGGATGGATGGATGGATGGATGGTTGGATAAATGGATGGATGGGTGGGTAGATGGATGGATGGGTGAGTGGGTAGATGGATGAATGCATGGATGGATGAATGGACGGATGAGTAGATAGGTGGGTAGATGATGAATAGGTGGATGGATGGATAGGTGGATGGATAAATGGATGGATGGATGGATATATGGATGGATGGATGGATATATGGATGGATGGATGAATGCATAGATGGATAGATGGATGGGTAGATGGATGAATGGGTGGATGGACAGATGGATATGATACTACAATATTGAATAATAGTCTTTTCAGGGGAAATTAGTCTAGCTGATCTGGAAAATTTTAGCCTTACCCTTAGTTTATAGGTTTCCAAGAGAATTCTAGCCCAGATAAGGAAGCATAAAATAGGGTATCTTGTTTCCCAGGACACTCTTCAGGTTTAGAAAGAACAGCAACCCCACCCCCACCCCCGATGGATTGAGTTATGGGCAGAGAGTTGCAGGCACCTTTAGAAGAGGCAAACTGTGCCCTAGATTCATTATTCCTCCAACGGGCCTGGTCAATTCCACACGTCTCCTCTGTAATAGTTCCACAATTATCTGTGTCCTTGCACATGTCTCTGTTCTCTCCTGAGTGCAGTGAAGCAAAACCAAGACACATTTGAGCAGCAATAACTATGCTGCAGGCTTGAGGTGGCAAGCCAAATTAGTACTCAAAACAAGTATTTCATCTGGGTGGAATAAGAATATAACGACTCTATCATTCTGAAGCTCCACTGAACACACAGCCCTCCTGTAGCTGAGGAAGGTCAGGTGCAGTGAGCAGAGCGAAGGGCCAGGGCAGAAGAGAAAAGGAATGATCTTTTCTTTGACCTTCGGAAGAAGGAGCAGAAATAAGCATCAGATGAACAGAACGCACTGAGAAAGGCAGCCCATTGTGCCAGTAGAAAGACAGCTGGCTTCAGCCCTTGTTTCCAGCTGCAAGTGTGTAATTGTGCACTGTTGAAGCATCTTGTCTGAATGCAGTGTCCTCATCTGTAAAACAGAGATATAAAATTTGCACACCAACCCACAAAGCTGTGGATGAATGAAATTGAAGACCACAGCTGCCTCCTTAGCTTTCTTAGCCAGCAGATCATTAGCTGAAATTGAATACCTGTCTCCTCTTCTCCAAAAGACAGACATTAGAGAACACTAAAACTCTGCCTTTTTCTTTGTGCCCAGTACCTAATGCTGTATCTGTTACACATTTGTCAATTGGCAGATGGAGCAGGTAGACAATTGGACAAATACTTTTTTGAATGCTGTGTAATGTTACATAAATGAATAGAGTTGAATGATTGTCATATACACTTTGGAAAGCAGGTCACCATTCCTGTGTTTTGATTTCAATCATGTATCCAGCCTCTACCTATTTTCTTAATGGGATAGAGAGAGACCCAGAGAATGTGTCTACAAGATTTACAGTTTAAATGTGTGGCTCACTGAGGAAGTTTCACCAGGGCGATGTTGGATTATGAAGCATTGTCACCTTCCAAGATGGTCTTCTGTATTTTGTGTACAATAGAAAACCGGGGCAAACAAGTGGATCTGAGTTATTCTAGAACTCTGTGATACACTACATCAACTTTAGTGTGTGCAGCCAGTGAGCCTGCACATTGTAGAAAAGTATGTTTATGTACCATACAGAAAAGAGAATTCATTAAAAGGAGATGGAATGGCTGCACATCCTGATTTGGCAAAATAACTCAAATCGTTTATTTGAGCTCCTAGACCATCCAGAGAGAAATGGAATGGAATTGTCAACCCCAAAGGAGTAAAATAATTCATCTTTCTCCCTTTCCTCCTATGTTTGAATGACTGAGTTCTTAAATCTATATGTTCATACCTGACAGTACAATGAGAGAAATAATGAAGGGGTGAGTCTATGCAGATGGGTCACCACTGGACAATATATGTTGAGGAAGGCCACTTCAAAGTCTGTGTTATGAGCTAGGAATAAAGGGTTTTGTTGTTTTTTTAACTGTTTATGGAACTGTGTTGAAAGCATTTCCACACATTTTAGTCACCAGGAAAGAAAGC